TGCATCCTTTAAATGTAGGTACCAAATGCCATGTAAAAAGGTTCAACTATCAATTCTTGCATGTAGTGATTTATGCATCCTTTAGGTACCAAATGCCATGTAAAAAGGTTCAACTATTGGTACTTGCATGTAATGATTTATACATCCTTTAGGTACCAAATGCCACCCAACCTCTCTAGGTGGTATTAGTTTGAACCAGTTAACACTTATTGTATTTTGTATATGCAATGTACATGCACACAACAGCAGCATGGGAACATGCATGACATGTGCATATGGTATCAGTGTCTCATGATTAAAGCTGTTTACCATTTACGCGTGTACATGTACATGCATGTAGGTGTATCCTTGACATTTCCAGTTCAAAGTAATGCAAATCAACAAATCAAATACTGTATGTATACATGTACATGTATACTGACACTGTGTCTGTTTTTTAAGAAAAACTAAGATCTTGGCCTCAGTGTAGTGTACGTGTAATGTACAAATAAAAATACCCCAATGAGCGCATTCTGTTAAAATGCATTCTTATGTATGACACTGTGTTCAACTGTTAATGAGATGACTCCACATTTCATCACACATTTGTTATTTCAGCATGTTCGGCATGTTTTCCAAGCACACAAAAACAAGATCCTTAGCCGGAGTCAACATTCAGAACTACATGTGCTACACTTCTGAACCAGCAGTAGGATTCAAAAAGGGCAAGTTGTAAGCTGTGAAACAGGTTGGTGGAGTCACTGCGCAGGGAGGGAGAGGTACAGTCAACATTTACAACGTGAATTAGTCCTAATTGCTGTTGAAAGTAAATTCATTCCATTCTGAAACGGCAAATATTCATCTCCCTCAACAATGCACGTACCCTACTCTTTATATAAACCCAAGATGGTTACATCAATACTGTCTAAACATACATGTGTAAACAGGAATTTGAGAAGAAACAAAATACCTGTACATGTATGTATGTACATGGGTGTTGTACATGTACTTTGCACTGTGAATTTTTACTGGAGGGAAGTAAGGCTTGAAACGAGTCAACATGGTCCACAAATGAAACTGGAGGTCGAGCATTTTGACCTGTCATTCTGACAAACACTGCGCTAGTACATGTACATGTACCAACGAAATGTTTACCTTCAACCATGTACATGTACATACACTGTACTTGTACATTATTAAATGTGCAGGTATGTACACGTCTTACAAGTGCAGATGAGTGCTCTGGTTTCACATCCTGTGGTGATGGTCATTTATGTACAGGTGTACATGTACATGTTTTATGTGTATGTTTTACAGGTTAATTTCTGGCATTAACAAAATGGGGCATTTTTCACTTCATGCATGACACTCTCAAAGTCAAACCACAAATATTGGCAAAAACTCCACTTTGGGGGTTTGTATATATATTCTAGGTCTCTATACCATTGTCAGCAAGCAGTTTGCAATGATGTTTACAGTTTGTACAGTACTGTATGATGCAATGCACCTGAAGTTGGATTAAAGGTATATTATTACTTATTTCCTGTAAACACTTGATCCATGAAAGCTGGAACAAGTGAAGCTTTTAAACATTTTACACTTACATGTAGTAACAAGTACATGTAAGTTTGTTTCTAATTTAATTATTTGTCTTCACATAACTAATGTTAGAATAAAAGTACATGTAATGGGTGTGTTCACATCCATGGAAAAGCAAAACGTTTTCTAAGTGGACAAACGGAATGAGTAGCACACTTTGTTATACATGTACATGTACATGTGATATAGTGCCTAACTAGTCCTATAGAATTACAAGTAAGCCTATAGATAAGTTACAGAGGGGTGAGGTTAAAGTGGCAAAAACTCTTTTATGGAAGTTTGACAAATGGAACAATTTTGGGGTACCAGTAAAAATAAACCTTTCCAAATGCAAAACATGGTACCGGTATTTAACTTGAGTTACACATAGTGCAACTAAAAATAACAAAACGGAAGTCATACCTGTACATACATGCGTGTCAATAACAACCTTGAATTGGAAGTTATTGTACATGTACGTGTTACTCTTAACATGATTTACATGTAAATCTGAGTCAGTCAACCAACACAGAAAATTTTTGTGACATCTAAATAGTTTTATGCTGGATAGGAGAATCAATTTGACAACAGTCGAACCAAGTCTATGCATGTACGCAGTCCAGCAATCATACTAACATGACTAATGCCTCAGTATTATATTCCCTTTCAAAAATCTTACTAATCTACATGTAGTTACTAATTAATGGGCCTGAAAACAACACTCACCAGCACTGACCAGACATCTGCCATCATGATTCGACACAGTTTCACAATCTCACTGTCATGTTCTTGAATTCCAAACAGATAACGGGAGCCTTGACTTTCATTTATTCCTCCTGACCATCCACCTGTCTCTCTATCGCCAGAAATCCCTTGGCCTCCATTATCTGTATCTGGTGTAGGATTGGTCAGTCCAGCAGTTTCTACTGTCTCTAAGGTGTCTCTGGCATATAAGAAGCACCAGGCTAGACTAAGGCAGCTTAAGGCAATGTAGGTTTGGAGTGGAGGAAGAGAAGGTGGTTGAAGTACCAGAACTGGCATGGCTGGTTGAAAACTGATCTGAAAAGTCAAACATTAGTTAAGTTATTACTCACAGAAAATAACAAAAGATACTGGGGAAATTCACCTAATTATGCTTTTTGACAAGACAAGTTCATGGAATATTCATAATTTGGCAAGATTTTGAAATTTTGACCAATACATTGATAAATTGTTGAGCAAATCTTCTATTATTGCTTCCTTACTCGAGAACATTTCGTATGAATAAATTTTGCGTCTTGATTAAAACGTATGTAAGTTTTGGAAAAACTGCTGTGAATGTGATACAGCAAAGGTACAAGTAGTGTACAAGTACATGTAGGGGCCTATGGCACTAGTGCATGTGTACAAGCAAATTACGTAATCATGACTTCAGCATGTTCAATATAAAATCTACACAGCTGCTTTTTCCTGTAAAGTGGAACAAAAATGTAGAGATGTCCTAAAGGGAAGAATTGTCAATGTCAATGATGGCAGAATGTTACGTCTGGTTCTTTTTTCTTCTCATCTGTAGTTCCATACATCCTGGCGTATCCTAATTTGCGCATACATATATTCCAGCAATCAATTATCTTGCTGTGCAGATCTATTTCTTTGCACAGATGTTAATTTACTGTCCATTATCAATCTAAGATAAGCTTTTTGCTCTTTGCAGTTACATGTACGTTCACCAGTAATTGGAAAAAATGCAAGCAGAGAGTAAATTTTACTGTAAACTTGGACTACATGTACATGTAAATACAACAGATAAGCCAAACCATTTTCAACTGTCAAGAAAAGTAATAACCAATCACTGCAAGCTCAGGATCAGTGATGAAGTTCAAGATTGCACTTAACAGGGTTGAGGCTTATTTACAATACATGTACATTGTAAGAGTAAATTTAGTCAAAGAACTACACAAAGCATGACTAATAAATTGACCAAGTCATGTACATGTACAAGTCACCTGGTCACAGGAAACAGTTCCATGTGGACATCACTTGACACCCCTGGCATAAACCCTTTGTGCTTGTCCGGGGAAGAGTTCCATATATGGATGTCAGTAATTATTCCCTACAGTAGTATTAGCCATCAGAAGTCAAAAACAGGTCAAGAAAAGTACAATTTAGGAGGGAAAAATATGAAGTTGTTTACTTAGAAAACAATTTTCTGACCAGTCTCATAGGGTTTGTGCACGGGGTGTCAAGTGGCGTCCACAGATGTAACTTTTTCCCAGGTATAAAAAGGGACATGAAAACATGAGTGAGGGCCCTATTTAGAAACTAAGTTTTTTAAATCGGAAACTGTGATTGAAATTTGTCTTTTTTTGCATGCTGTAGCTCCTGCATTTAATTTCCAATTTCAAATTTTTGAAATTTGAAGTAAAACCAGAACAAAGATTTTACAAAAATATGAATTTGGAAATTGGAGAGTTTAAGTTAAAATCCACATTCATTTTTGTGTAAAAAATAATCACAGTTTGCTTTGCATTACTAGTGTACAGAAAACATCTCAAAACATCCCAGCTTTAAATCAATACTTCTTTGCAGAGTCCGATGGAATCCAAATTTATATCAAAATATTTCTTATGACATCCTCTTCAAGCTAACTTCAAAAATAGCTGAAAATTTTATAGGCCTCCCTTGTTTTCTAAGTAAACGACTCCGTACATGTATTTCACCCCTAGCCCTGAACTGAACTTTTCTGGAGGCTGACATGATGTACATGTACATGTTATAGCCTGGCATCCATGATGATACTCTTTCCAAGTCGTGAAAGTAGGCCTAATATTAATAAGCATGATAAATCTGCAACTTAACGTCCATAAACCATCATGCACAAAACGACATGACACGCATGACCAACATGACGTTCATACCAATTACCATGTTCATACGTGTTCATGAACAATCATGACAATTGTTCTTTTACCATTTACCTTCACTCTGTCGTCATCCTGTGCATGTCGAGAAAGACAGTCTTACCTTTCAATTCAAAATACGAAAAGACCGCAAAAAAAGTCGTTTACGTCCCATAGAAAGTGTTACTACATTCAATTTCTTTCAAACATGCAAACAAATACATGTGTGATGTAGTACGAATCTAACGCATTCAAGGCCGACCCAGCCACCGTACGTCACGTATACGTGCACTGCATGCATAACGTACCGCTAGGCTGTAAGGCCAAAACAGGAGAGCGCCCTCAGTCGTTTGCATTTTTAAGACACGTAGCTCTCAGCTCAGGGTCCTGCAGTCCACTAATTCAAGCCCCATTGAAAACAGTGTAAAATCAGCACTCATTTGTTGAGGGCCCAAT